CCTCGCAGACTACTACCTTGTCTGCGGTTTGCCCAGTTTAGGCTGAAACTGGGAAAACCGCGAACCTCTCCCACGATTGGACTCCAATGAGCCAAGGGCGCTGTGCCGTGTGCGCTCAAACATAAGGCGATCGTACAACTTACACTATCAGATCATCCTGCAAATTATTCGCTTTTGAACCATAATGGACCATACTATTACTTACCCAAAAAACTTATAAATAAACTAGATTTTGCTTGCAACTTCATCAATGCAAGATTTAAAAAATCTTTAGTGAGCAGCCTGTGTCTTTCCTGAATATGATAGATACACAGTAACAAACATCTTTCCGTCCATCCCAAACTTTCACCTTTACAATAATAGTATGAAGGTTAATGTAATAAAATAGAGTTGCAGTCAAATGGTGTAGTGTGTCAACCTGTAGTGGTGCAGGATGTCGGCCCGCGTGTAGAACTTGTTGAAGCAGATGCAGCACTGGTACACATCCTGCGGCTGCTCCTCCTTTTTGCTTTTCTTGTTTCTTTTCCCTGGATCTAATTTTATTTTCCCCGTCTTGCTATCCTCCTCTTCAGCAATTATGTTTCTATCCTTTTTTTTAAGCACGGTGAGAGCAGAGTTCGTGTTGAGTGAGTTTATCAAAATCTCTAAATCTTTTAACTTTCCCTTCCTCTTTCTACCTCTTTTATTTCCTTCTACTTGACCATTCTTAGGTGCATTACCGTTTTCTTTTCTCTTTATCTCCTTAAGACTAAACAGAGACAGGTCCTCGCTTGCATCGGACAGCACAGCGTTGGAGCCGGCCGAGCTGTCGCTGTCTGAACAATCTTCTTCTGTTTTGACAGGCAGCCGCAGGGGGGAAGGTTTTGGTTCTATTATTTCTTCTTTAACTTTGACTTCAACTTCCACACTAGATGATTTATCTCCATCTGTCTGTGTCTCTTGCTCCAGTAGCACTTTAATTTTGACAGCGGAGGGCTGAGGCTCGGCCGCTGTCCCCAAACAGTTGTTGCTGTCTAATGTAATACCTGAATCTATTATTATACTGCGCAATCTGAAATGTAAAATTGAAAACTTTTTTAATAGCTTTTTCACAATCAATATAACCAAGACTGCCAGAGTGCATGGGACGGGGCATTGTAGCAATTGATGAGGGTGGCCTACATTCAGTAGTGGAAGGCCTTAGGCTGATGATGTAAATGTATAAGTGGTGCTAATAAAGCCGCAACAAATAAACTTTTTATTATATTTTTACATCTGTCCCAATCCACTATCTACTTTAGTATATGGATCATGCAAATGCAATATTAGATAAATATGGAAAAAGTAAGGAGTACAAACGGAAACACAAGTGTAATTATGTAGAAATTATCAGTGTAAACTAAATCACAACTCACTTCGACTGGACCTCGATAGCTTCGTTACAGAACTGATAAAAGTCGTTTACTTTGCAGCTACATTTGTCACAAATCTTCTGAGGCAGCCGATCGTTCTTCAGTATCTGCAGACAAAACATAAATTTAAAATTATGCATAAACAATTAGCAAAACTCTAGACAAGTTGTTCAAACTTCATACCTTGAAAGGTAAATATAAAGACATTTTTAAAAACAGTGCATTTTCTTCATCAAATATATAATTATTGACAAATTTCGTAGAACTGCATAGACGACAGATAGCATCCATTTTTAGTGCATTTAAGCGGATCGGATCGCGATGTTTATACAATTTTATCGAGAAAGTGACATTTTAATTCAGCCATTTGTCAATATTGACTTTGTGGATCAAGTGTTGCCAGGTTGTTCCGTGATCCTGCTTAGAGACCTAAAACCAAAACTAAAAATAAATACATAAGAGAATATACCAGAGTAATATTGGAAGAGGGTGGGCGGTGTAGGCGGGCGAGGCAAAGACTGCGCCAAACTTTTGATTAATGAATACAACATTTGTAAAGTTAACTTACTCGGTTAATGGCAAATATTCAAAACATTGAAACTTTACTTTGACAACAATTTGTTCTTGGTTGTGTCTAGAAATACGTGCATGGCTTTTTAATACAATCGTAAAGCGATAATGCAATGTTAAACCATGACATATCCGATGTAAAATCATCTCAATGAGACTGCCCGTCGACGTTGAAATTACTTCTATCCTAGTTGAATATATGAACAGAGGTCTTGTATCCTACAAGAACTTCACAGAAACCAATCTCAGTGAATATCAACACAAATATTTTTTTTGTGTAATTTAATGAGACTTAATATAAACTATGGATCGTGGCAATGATAACATTACCTTCAGTAGGATTATATTACTATTTGTACAAAAATATCATTCGATAAAATGAAGTAACCCGATAAACCTACACAGATATCGTAAACAAAATCGTACTATACTTTTAATTTACTATAATTAAGAATGAAAGAAGAACTTCCTTAAGCGAGGTCTTTTAGCGCGATAACGGCGCCTGCCACTTATCTTTATCGCGCGCCTTCAACAAATAAACTGTAAAAAGTTCAGATAAAGAATGGGGCAGAGTGGCGTGCCGTGCGTGCCGTGCGTTGCACACCGCTCTGTGCAACCACGCGACTTACGACCCGCATTGACACTGTGTAATGTACTCTTATATTATCTGTATTATGGTTGACAGGCATTAGTCAAACATACTTTGTTTTCCCGCCATTAGTTTTTTTTATAACATGTTTTAAAGAAAAAGCAACCTCTGACGACAAAGTTATCTCTAAGAGTAAACGTATATTGCGTATTTTGTCTGTATAATTCTCTTTAGCCATAAATTGTACCATTTTACTCGACTTATTACGTTCCTACGTTTGTTTATAACCAAACTTTATTCATATTTATAGCATATGGTACTTACTTACATCCTAATACTATGTATTAAATTTATATTCAAGTGTTTTAATTTTGTTCACATTTGGTTATCAGCTGTGTGGTTCTCGCATCGCGTGTATTTAGTTCGGTGACACTTTAGTATGACTCAAGTTTTATATCTTTAAAAAATGTATACACTTGCTTATATATAATGATACACAAATTAAATGTCTAATATACTCTTATAAGTCGAGTAAAATGGTACAATTTATGGCTAAAGAGAACTATATAGACAAAATATACAATAAAAAATATTCGCGATTGTTATTAAGAAAAAGTAAAGATTCTTAAACCATGTCACATTAAAAAGTAAAATAATCTTTATACAACAACATTTTCCTTTTATAAGGATTAAACAGTTCAGATTACACAGCCAATTATTTCACTACTCCAATATTTTTCCGTTTGTCTTATTATTATCAGAGGGTCGGTGGCTCAGGGGTTTCAGCACTTGACTTGTAATATCCTGTATATTGGGGTTCAGATCCGCCATGAAATAATATGACTTTCGAAATTCATAGCCTATTTTACTCTCTTATACCTTCAGTTACATTATAACCCATCAAAATCAGTCCAGGTATTTCGGAAATACCTATCTTTTTACCATAAGGCGGTAAAGAAAGCAATCTGCTTCCTGAATTCGCCAAAATGGCGAAGCGACTGCTGCCTTGAAATATAGTTGTTGTAACAGACGTTTATTTTGCATGTTTAATTTGTAAAATACAGATTAAATTATTCAAAACTCGTAGCATCGTTTCGAACAACGGAGGCCTCAGAAGTTGGTGGTAAATCATAATGACGATTTAAAAAAACCTTCTGTATTAGCTACGTTATTCGAGAAAAGTTTGCAAAAATTGATTCAGATGCTTCAAAGAATAAGCGTAGCCCTACCTTACCCTTGTGGATTCAAGGATGAAATATTCAGGTTGTTTTTATGATAAACAACTTACTGGAGAAAATAACCTGTCATAGAACATTCGCACGTCGCTTGTCACAACAGTTATCAGTGACCTCAATAATTCTATGTGAAAATTTATCAAGCAGTCGATAAGAAAGTCGAAATAGGTTCAGGTGCGGCCCCTATCGGCGATACCGTGCCCCGTGCGCTGAACATCATTGCTAACTGAGTGTAATAACATGTCACTAACAAGTTAACTATTATTTTATTTCCTAAGATTTACATCCCTTTGTGTGCTTGGCCTGTTCTTGGACATTGAACTTCCATTAAATCTTTTATAAAAGTACTAGCTGTTGCTTGCGAATTCGTCCCCGTGAAAAAAAAATAATAAAACAAGCATAGCCCATGTTAGTCGTAGATAAATTACCTTTCTAATGGTGTAATATTTTTTTAAATCGGCCAGTAGTTTTTGGGTTATTCCAATACATACAAAAATACAAATCTTTCATCTTTATACCACTAGTTGTTCCCTTGGGCTTCCATTATGAAAAGTTTATTTTATTTTATACATTCGTAAAATTATCTATTGGAAATGTGAAATTAAAATACTCAAATGACCACAATTACAGTCACCGTTGCATTCTTGCTACATGACAATGTTCTCCAAACTATTTATTAGTTACCTAAGTTTAATAGTCTAACAATATATAGCCTGAAGCGTATCGTATGCGTAGGGCTTTTTTATCAAAAAGATAATTATTCAAAAATATGCTGTGATTGCTGACATCCTGCATAACTGACTATACTAAACTATAAAAATAGGCATCAGTTATGATACTGTCGTCCACTGTTGTCAATTTATGAAGGTGCCGCGATCAAAATTGAAATTTATGGACTCTAAATAACTATTTACTTAACAAACTACATAGTTATAGGTACAAATGTAAGTCATGTCGCCTCGACCCTTGTACTCCTCCTATATAAAAATGTTTATTTTAATAAACAAAAATAAAAACAAAAACATATTTTTTTGTTTTATTTTTAATAATCTGGCACAGTTGAAAGATACTAAATTGAAAAATCCGCATACATAAAAAACAATGAGGTGTGTGCACGGCACAACAAAAACTCGTACCTTCATTTTGGGCGCGCTCGGCTCCTGCACAATGCTAATTAATGTGTACACGTAAATACAAGTACAATGAGCCGCGTGTTCACAGCCAACATAACTGTATGATAGCGTCGCTGATGACGCAGGAGAAGGTGGAAAACTATATCATGTAAAGTCCCTAGAAAATCTTCAGTCTTTGTTACTGCGCGATTTACACCCGCACCCTGAATAAAGTGATCAATGAAAGTTGACAAAAAATAAGGTAAAGCCCAATTATCAAAACAGGCATGAAAATGCTTATGATGTTAACACGAAGTAAAGAAACTTAATAATACAGTGTCGAGCAACAATTTAAGAGAGTCAAATCTTCTACAAATGAAGTATACGATAATGAAATTGTTGCTTTCTCGCTTATTTGAAAGATTCAATATTGCAAAAAACAAAGCATTATAACAAGTTGTTGATGTGTGATCACCTTCTTTAATTTTTATTTACGCACATATCTACGTATAATTCTCATCGGACCTCTTTGGTGGCAGGTAAGCTGTACGTAGTGATTATACAATCTATTCAAATTGTTAGTTAGTGAGCGCTGCTGAAATGATACAGTTGCGGTATCTTATAAGTACGTAGGGATAATATTAGTAGAAAAAAGGAATAGATTTTAGGACAATTATGAAATATGATGCCGTAAAGACGGGTATGAAATGGCCGGTTACATTATGAAATGGGTAATTGTAAAATTTGGCTACTACACGCGTATTATTGCAGAACATATTTTTCCTGTCGGTTGTTTCGTTCTCAAAATATATTAGACACTTTTCCTTCCTTCCTGGATAAATTAGTTCAATACCTTCTTTTGTTACCGCGTATGAAATATTTTGGTGAATCAGAATTCACAGGATCTTTCCTTGAATAATTCCAACAACAGTAGACTGAGCACGCTAACGCCCAGTTCTGACTGACAGTTCGAACGAAGAGTCAATCTTTTCATGTTAGACTGTGCGTTTGTAGGTAAAATAGTTAAAAACTGTCATTTCAACTGTACTGACGCCGGAGGCCTAATTGTAGTTCCTTTCCCTTTCCACCTTTTTCTTAAGAGGAAAGGATGGGATGTAAAAGTGGATTTGACAGTGGAGGAGACACATAGGAAGGGGAAATGTTTTCGAATATGTGCGTTTCGTCCTTCGTCGATTAAGGGTGGGCAACGCATGTGCAAATAAGAATGTCTATGGGCAGCGGTCACTTCGCCATTCCAGCGGTTTCAGATGACCGCTTGCTCGTTTGGCACCTTAATAAAAAGCTTTGCTTATAGTTGTGAAGCAATGATAAGGGAAACTTCTTCTTTATGTGCGTCCACTCCTTCGTCAATTAAGGGAACGCAACTTTGTTATAGTTATGGACTGTAGTTGTTTTACTGCTTTGGTCGTAGCCGCTTGATTTGCCACCTTGTGATATAAAAACGTAAAAACTTTAAACTGTTGAGGTTTTAACAAATATATCGATCGTAAGATACGGGATAATATTGGGAGCTAAATAAACCCAATTCTGGTAAAAAAAATCCGTACTTTACGAATTGCAAAGGTTTTAGTTAAAACTGTTAGAATCTAGCTATATTAAAATAAAAAAAGGTGTAAAGTAAACCTAATAACTTACATTCTAAAGTATTTCCAAAGGCATCGCATTGACTAAAATAGATAGAGCCAAATAAATAAATTGTAACGTCTTCGGGACCATTCTACATTTACAAATTAAAAGTAGCAAAAAAGCGTCAGATTAGCAAGTTAAGCGTATCATAACATCCCCAAGTTACGGAACCTTGAAAACATTTGATAAACAGAAGATGAAAATCGATGCGGCAAAGTTGCGAGTCAACT